GTTCACCTGAAACAGCAACGCACCCTGGAACAACAAGCGCAGTGACGAGGCACGCGCACGGCAAAAATGTACCTTTCGATTGTTGTCTTCAGTGGTACGCGAGCTCCATCGCTAGGCGCCGGGTGAAAAAAAATCGAGTATCTTCCTGTCAGCAACGACCGACCGCTCTTCTTTTCGTGTCTCGCCAAGAGCACAGCACCTCTCTCTCTCGTCTATCACAGTGCACACAGGTGAGCATCCCACGGGAAAAAATAACCAAGGGTGTTTGGCAAGCTAAACCAAACCACATCTGGCGGACAGCACGAACGTAGACTCGGCTCCCCACGCTGCAGGGACAACTGCGGGTGCGACAACAGCGAATCTTCTGGGCTTCATTCATCGTCCACGGACGTCAACGCCACACAGAGGATCGTCCAAACGAGTTACGCAATTATAAAAACACTGAATCAAGGCTGATTGGTAATGAGTGTTTTGGCCAACACGGCTTGATCTACTCCTGCCCTTTGATTTGAGAAAGCCGACCCACACCGCAGAAAAAAAACGTTATAATACCAATTCATGCGTACGTGGGACCGTAGTCAGTCGTGAGTACACGCAACAAGGAGGGGGCTGCTGCACCCTTTTCGTGTAAAACATGGAAGGAAAGCACGGCAGGGGAAACGATGGGGAGAAAAACATGAACGGCTGTCCCGTATTTTCCCTCCTCCTGTGCGACCCCGGTTTGAACGTCAAACGAATACCGAACGCGTACATTGGTTGCCCAGAATGGATGGGGACAACAACACACCCACACACATCAAAGCGACACAAGCCGGCGCCCTTGAAAGCCACAGGCAGAGAGCATGCATGCCTTTCCGCATGCGGCATTCTCGCAGAGGTTACTTGGTGTTGTTTTGGTGTTGCCATGGTATGCGTAGCCGCCGGAGGCCGGGGTACTTGTCACTCGCACCTGTTGAGAGCGATGAGCCAATTCCGTTCGTTGCTGCACCAATACCTGTTGGGAGCGGATAACACACGATCATGAGTGATTCCGAAGGTATTGCGACATTGCTCATTTTATGCCCCTGATTGTGCATCCTCTTCGTCGTGGAGTAATCGAGCTTTCAAAAGCGGTCCTGGGGGTGTGATATCTTGTGTCATGTCATGTCATGTCACCTACGGTAGGTTTTGAACCGGGTTTTTAGCTGAGACGGTGACAACAACTTTTTGAGAAGGCGGGATCTCGGCCCGTAGACTACAAAGCGAGCAACAGAAATGGCGGGCGCAGTGACTGCCACAAAGGAGAACGCCGGATACAGCTTCAACCGGGATTTTTCATAGTTGAATACAGCAACATTTAACGTCGGGTGGTTAGACCACTGTGCGTCGGATTGTTGTAGTCTATCAGGTAGACGGTCAAGCTCTCACTTCAGCCCGTACATGACTACACAAGTAGGCGGCAGAATGACATGCATGATTGCATCCACGAAGAACACCCGCGTTGCGCGTCTGGGTGATCAACATGAGGAGCGGTCATGCAAGCCTACTTCACAAGAAGGCGAGAGGAGAGTGTTCGATACCCTCAATCCGTTGAATCATCAACACACGGTGTGAGTCTCGTGCACAACACAGACGAGTTAATAGACGCGACGCGAATGATGCCGATTGTGTGGACAACCTCACCTCCATCGCACTGCATCGAAAGTCCTCGGGAAAAGCACCATATCCGATGTCCGATGTCCGAGCTGGACGGGGTTGCTACCCCTACCAAGCTCTGCACCGCTCGCTTGGCTCTTGACCTCGGGGTCTCGAACTCCAAACCCTTGAGAAAACCGGCTCTAACCAATGGCGCCAACCAAGTGCTTGACCAGTGCAACGAAGCTCGAGGAGCTGGGTTTCCCAGGCCCGTGTGAGCGCAGAACCCGCCCTCGCACTCTGGCCTACTTCCTGCTGTCGACGACGGCCCAGACCTCTCGCTGTCAACTATCTACCCTACAAGTATAGCCCACATGTAGACTAGATGTAGCAGTCTGCTACACGCCAATCGCCTTGGTCTGGACAGGACGGATATATCTCGTGATGTCGGCAGAGGCTGCGGGCCAAGGCGGTCCACGTCGCAGAAAAATACACCGACAGTCAAGTGTGCTGAATGCTGGCCAAATGACGGTCGATCTCGTTGTGCGCTCCCTCCGCAACCCTACAAGGAAACCTCTCTCTGCTGTCTGCACTCTGCGCACAAACAAAGCACTGCACGTGCTGTTCCGAGTCTAACCGAAACCCGCCGCATTTTGTCTCGCGGGGCCCCCTATCCACGTCACAAATTCCAGCCTATGTGCCCCCTCTTTACCAAGCAAGATCTGGCGCATCCGGCGGTTTTATATCCATGTCCAGCCGAGCACTACGGCGGCTGAGACACCCGGGGGTGAGGCCAGGATCTCTCACTCGTCTGATATAGTAACTCACCTCCCCTTCGAAGAGAAGCAACGACGGGTAAACCAGTGAAAGAACATGGACCGGACAAGGCGCTCAAGAAGATCGCGAGGCGGTCAAGGACAAGAAGAACAGCCATTGCGGGACTTTTGGCGAGCGCTTATCGCGTCTGACCTTGAGCTCGTTTGGAGGTACGTGGTTCACGTGGGAACAAATTTTGGGGTTGAAGAAAATATCACTCGCAGCAGTCGCTGGATGCAGGTGTTGTTGTGTCTCCCCCACGATGTTTTTTCTCCTTCGCTGCGGCATACAGTAGTACTTGCGCCGCCAAGTGTTCGTTGGCACTACTGTACATGACAGGTACTGCTGTATGGACGACACAGGCAAAACAGCACCCAAAAGAACGCGATGTCACCGTAAACCTGATCTGCTGTTTGAAAGCCCTATCTTTGACGCCCTGCACGTCGAAGCGTTGGCCATACGTGAAGTGCTGTGTCGCTCTCCCGCTGCCTGTCAAAAAGAACATCACATGGCTGCCAGAATGCAGGCATATCTAAACGGCCCGATTGACTATACTGAAGACCGACCCCATTGTTGGGTAGGTAGCAGGCCCTTAGAAGTAATCTCAATCCCAAACGTTGACACTCATCAGCAGCAATCAGCAGTGCAAACTTTCGTTCGAAAGAAAATCCACGTGATATTCTTTTGGTGTTTCGGACGTAAGAGAATGCGAACTGATTTGCTTCGGCCCATGAAGGTATCATAGGCGTCATCTGCAGCGGTACCCCGTCCAATCCACACTCTACGTGGCGTGCTTCAAATGACCCGTGAGTTACTTTTCTCCGTCGGTTTTCGGTCAGGGTCCAAGGTGCTGTTCGAGTGTGGCCCGTATGGATGCAAAACAACCTGTCACGCGTTGTTTCCCATCACCCGCTCAGAGATGTATCCATCATCACCTGGTTTGCCTTCTTTTTGGGCTGCCAACGATTTGGTGAGATCATGATCGTTCTGGAAATGAATATGCTTACGCCTCTCCTTTGTAGAGACGCCTGTGTTATATCTCGTGTGTCGCCGTCTACGATTCATAAGTGTGTCTCTTGTCTCGACGTTCGGTGATCAACCTCACTCCTTGTGGTCTCTTCGGACTATCCTTGTGCATAAGACTGTCCTTCTCGTACCTTGGATACTGCTGGCTTATGGCCTAGACTTGTCCATCTGTCTGTGTTGGCCACATTTATATACGCTGTGTTCGCACAATCGCATCATCGGCACCGAAGCACTGCTGTGGTCTACGACTGTTGCTACCTGCTACACGAGCAAATAACAGCTTTACGAGCAATAACACCGACTAGCGTCGGTGGGCGTCAGCTCCCTGCTGCGACGTGCCGGGATACATGTACCACAGGTCCCATAATATATAATGAACCGTAAAAGCAGTATCTTCACGTCAAGTTGACGCACCTCCCAGTCCGTTTCAGCTGCAAAGGCAAGCACCATCCGGATTCTTCGCAGTCTGCAGTAAGGAACGAAGGTACCAATCTCTTCCATGAACTTGGTTCCAGTGCTGAGCGGCTAGTCTGGCCTTGTACGTGTTTACCGACTTCACGTGAAGTCCCAACCTGCCATAATACCACATTCTCTGCGGGTAGAATGTGTACGGGCGGACGAAAGTAGAGAGTGCACAAATTCGTTTTGTGGTTCGTACGGGAACTGCTGTGCTTGGTGTCCGATGACGTGGAGACCCATACAAAGAATTTCGTGCTTGGGGAGGACGTCTAGTTGGCTACAGGGTCGACACCAGGTCTTTCGGATTTACAATCCAGAGAAAAACGAAGGGTGCGCGAGATAATCAACGCTATGTCCATAGAGACACCGATTACCAAGGTCGAACATGGAATCGGACTTGAGGGGCACAAATCCAACTTCGATGAGCTTCGGATCATACAAGTAGTTTGTCACCCGTGTTAAGGTCTTAAGCTATTCCGTACAGAATATTTTCCAGCTTCGTCACAAGTTGACCTCGGTTCTCGTTAGTGGTCTCGATCCACCCCCCCCATGAACTCGGGACGATCATCTCGTGAATGTCGATACCAATCACGAACCACCCAAGGTTTCCACTTCTTCTGGGCGTGCTGCATCAACATGGCCGGCGCGGCTCTCCTCCGCCTCGTCCTCTCAGCGCCACGTCCGTTCATGTACGACCAGCGGCTGCGGCCGCTGACCGACCGTTACGAAACGAGCCACGGCCTGCCTTCTCTAGAGACCCACATGGCGACGGTGGTGGCAGGGTGGTGGGCTGAATCGGGTGGGAGCAACGGAAGCAGCACCGACAGCGGGGGCGACGACGGAGTGCAGCCGCTCGTAAGGCTACTTGCTCTCGGGTACATCGCTTTCGTCGGATTCACAAGGTGCGTACACCCTGGGGGTATTTGTTGACGGAAGTGGGAGAGGGTGTTCTATGGTCTTGACAATATATATATATATTTGCTTTGGGTCGGTCGGGCGTCAAGAGCTCTTTCGATCCGCGCGGCATGTGTCCTGCCGAATGATGTGGTCTTGCATGATGTGGAAATGGTCCGGTAGAGTAGAGACAGATTGCTGTGTATCAGTACATATCGTTCTCGGCGTCATGCGACAGCTCGGGCACGTCTTCTTTCACTGCAGGCGACGAATGAAATAGACTGCATCAAGGCTAGAAGTGAAAGGCGTGTAGTCGTGCGCACACGAAGAAGGGGGATGGGGGGGGGCTCTGGACCCTTTTGGCGCCAAAGCTTGAAGGCAAGCACCGCAGGAGGACAGTGGGGAACGAATTACTCCCGTTTGACCCCGGTTGTTGCGTCAAACATTCATCCTACCGAAGGGAATAGTCTAGGCGTCTACACTAGACTATTTAGCAGCCAAGCGTACATGGAACGAAAATGTATTTGAAAAAGACTGGATTGCCGTGGTCGCCCACTCGATTCGAAGCCCACAACTGCCTGTCGTCAGGTTCTACAACAAAAACCGTTTTGTCCCTCCAAAGAACCGACCCTCAGCGCAACTGAATGCCGCTTGTTTTGCGTACTCCACCCCCTGCAGGGTGTACGCTTGCAGTCGGTTTGTCCACCAGGTTGCTCTGAGCATTGTTACGGGGGCTGTAGGGCTTGCCTGGGGCTGGCGGCTGTCGACTCACTTGGATGGCCTGGCCCTAACGATGCGGCATCACGTGCGTGGAACTGTGGTTGTCGTCATCATCGCGGTGAGGCAACAAAACCTACAGTAACTTTCAAACTTGTAGCCTAAAGAGGGGGCCGGTCACATCTTTGTGCGAAGGGCCCATGAATATCAACCTTGACTACACATGCTTGGTTCAGGTTGAAGGAGTTATTATGTCGACCACGAGGCACTCCGCAACCGTAACACATAGAACGAAAATCACTTGCAGTCATTTTTACCAAAACTTTGCGTGCTGCTTCTGGTTGTGTATAAATACGTCTACCATTCCAGTTGGGAATGGTGGCCTACCAGGTGGAAAATAACGATAGCCAGCTGATGGGAATAAGGAAGCACGAGTACCTGAGGGTACTCTCCAACATCGTCAAAGAATCCCAACAGGCTCAGGTGATCGTATCGGGTCGGGGAGCAAGAGACTGTCCGGTGGTGCCCCTATGGGCGTTCACGCGCGCGGTAGACAGCCCAAGAGCGCATGCATGGCGCAAAAAAATCCTCCACGAATGAATCCCAGTCATTCTATACAGTGTGTGTTGACAATGGGCGAACTTATGTTCTCGGGGGGGCTATTTGGCATCAGGTCACTCATCGAAGCGCACTGTGTGGTGGTCGTTTTTCGCACTAGATGTACTGTGTTGCGCGGAAAAAATTACCAATCCGGGAAACTCTTGAACCACAGAAGCGTAAAACTGCTTAGCAAAGTGCCCGTTTACATGGCCCATCCCGCGTTAACAGCAGGCGACGTTCAGACAAAAGGGAGGTCAATACACAGAGTATGTCAGGCAAAATTTAACTTGCACGCGCAGCGATTGATGACATTCACATCATTTCGCCCGCTGTTCGATGGCGTCGTTGGTTTGTCTATGTTCACAGAGCGCTACTGTGGGGGGAGCAGAAAGTGAAGACGGAGCCGAGGGCGGGGAGTGGCTGCTGCACGACGGTGCCCCGTGGGATGGAAGAGCGGTTTCTTCTAAAAGCAGGTGCCAGTCGATGACCAAGGGCAAGGTACCCTGTACGATAGAGCTCGAAGGAACGTATGCGGCGGGCGAGCTCCGGACGTTCTGCATTTTTTCCAGGTTCCGGGTGTTGTATGTAGCTCAAGGTGATGGATGCAGGCAAGGTGTGACTTGCGCAGCATAACTCAGTTTCGAGTGGGGTGCTTGTTGAAGGGGGAATGGTTTCAATCTGACCGAGATTTGAGGTAGGCCGATGGAATCGACGGCTACATTTCGCCATGCGGGATGCCACCATCACGGCAAGAGTTCATGATAAAACCACTATGTCAAAATTCCGATACCGTCGTCGACAACCAATTATGTCATTCAACAACAATCGCCGCAGCCATCTCAACCCACCCATTCCACCCGCTGTCCGCACCCGGCGGTCCTACAACGATGACAAACAAAAGGCGTCAGCGCCTCGAAGAACGGAGGGACTCCTTCTACTTCCTCCAGAAAACGGTGGAGCGACGCGCCGCGGAAAAGGCCGCCGTTTTTCCCGGCGAGTGGACGAGCAGAAGCCGTCAACAGTCCCCAGCGGCGTGGGGCGTTGCTCGGGAGCAGCACCCGGGCGGTGACGGCAACGGTAACGGCGTCGGCGGAGTCCATGGTAGGGGTCTCGGGGAAGAGAATGAAACGTCGCGACCGGGAAACGGGGGTCGCTACTTCGGTGCGGCGGAAAGGGCTTGGGGGGCTTCGCTGGGGTAGAACGGGTGGGGGGGTAAGCACATAGAGGCGATCCTTTTTCTCGCCGAACACCCGGTTGGTGGTGTACGGCTCGAATACAAAGTGCAAAGTCGTAGATAAACTGCAAAAAAATCAAAGACAAAGCGAAAAGTCGGTGAAGCGACTGGACAGCACCCATTGACCAGTCTGATAGTACCGCTGCGCAACGACAGGAAGAAGAGTTGAGATAACCATGTGGCCCTTTCGGGGCCATCGAAGACGTTGAACTGCGGTGGTGTTCAAGCAGTGCGCTTGCCAATGTGCGAATACTGTAGGTGGTTGGTGGACGTTGGCACAACGCCTTTGAGTGCGTGCTTGTTCTGTTGTTGCGGGTTGCCCACGCCCGAGTTGCCCAAGACTGGTGCGGGATATCGGTGCATGTGGCTATGCGGAGGTGGTCAAGCATCCCGGTTCGCAGCAAGCTCGACAAACCATTGTCGATACCCCACCATGCATAGGAAAATTACACTTGGTACAATTCTGGGCTCACATTCTCTAGTTCTCGAACCTTCAGCAAAGAGACGCCCACGTACCCCAATTTCGTGGCTTGGTACCCTTTGTGCTTCTAATTCTGGGCTCACACCTCTGCTCTACAGTTGCTCTTGGACCTTCAACAAAGAACGCCCACGTGCCTCAAACTCGTGGGTTGGCACCCACGGAAGGCCTCCACAACTACACGGCAACCTCGAGGGATCCTCCCGCAACGGCAAGAAATATACATACAAAATCAAAACTGCGATTACGGGCTCTGCAACAATCTGGGAGTGCCACGCTATCGTTGGCATTATGAACCGAAAGGGTCCCGTTTCAACGTTCTTAAATGCGACAGCAAATAATTGAACCTGAAGCATTCCGAACCGATACTCAGCTGGGCAAGCTTGGCCGAAAAACGATCACTACTAAATTCCACGTCCGGCGAGCGCACCACACGGTGAAGTAAATATCCTGCTGCCTGTGTAACCACGGGTTCGGAGTTCTACACTAGCGAGGCAAGGCCGTTGGGCAGCTAACTGGAGCGACGAAAATAAGCAAAAACAACGAACACACACACACCGGAGGTCTATGCATAGACGGAAACGCTAACCCTTCATTGCCACCAAGGCTATGGAGGTGCCTGTGACAGCTTCGGTTTGAGCATGTTGCGATGGTAGCCTTGCTGGTCCATCGTGCGCATCTGCAAGCGGCATGTTGCGAAATCGGGGACAGGTGCGGAAAAAAGGCATTTACCTCGAAAATGTTGATGCACAGGAAAGAGTACATACAAACTATTTTTTGTCGTACGAACGCATCCAGGGAACACCCTCAGACTTCTAGCTACGGCCACGTTGTTTGCAAATGCGCATGAAAAACGCTGTGAACGGAAGATGACGCAAGGAAAATGTAAACGTGGGGCACAAAAGGCGCCCGTTGAACCTCGGCGGCTACTATAAAACGCTACGATAGCGTGCCAACGGCGGCGTAAACGTCAGGGCTGAAAAAAAAACTCACGTGTTTTTGCAAATTGCTGATGGCGTCCACTTTGTCGGGGATGTGGACGTATCTGATCATCTTTCCTTGGACTAAGACCACGTCCATCTTCCTCACCGAGCCCTGGCAAGCAGGGGCAGGGAAGAATTTAAGGTTTTTGTAATCAGGCTCTGCCACGGTGCGGGCAATGGCAGGGGGGGGGGGGGGGTACTCATAGCCGTGCACGCAGTAATCGCTAGACCATTGGTCTCGCACCCCTTCAAAGCCGGGACGGAGCACGCCTGGTTTTCACCGGACCAGGCTATCACAGTACCAACCGCGAAGCGATGTGAGGTATTCGGCCAAGGGGGGGGGGGCGCTGATCAGCGGGGCTTTCCGATTGTGCCTGTTTCTTCTTGACGATTCTCGGTGCCTCAAAGGTTTTCAGAATCGAATTCTGCCTGCCATGATAGGACAACGGGGAGCGGGCAAAACGATCAGTACGGCTTTCCGCTGTATCTGTTGTCTTACAGGCGACTTTCGGTACCATCTGGCACAACGGGATACAGCGCGGAGCTCTCGCTGGGGCAGCATCCGTGGGTGACAATCTGTGGCTCTTCAACGTCAGACTTCAAGCGTGATTGCTGCTGCACGATGGTCTCGGCTGCCCAGTTTCGCTCACATCTGGGTTCGTCTGGCGGACGTCCACCATAGACAAGCTGTGATGCCAAGTGTGGTCCATGAACGTCCAGCACGCGAGAGTTTGCGAGGTCAATCGGGATTAGAGAAGGCGCGAAGAAGGGTAGCGTGAGGTTAACAACTTCTTTCGGCCGCCCATGAGGGAGTCTCAACATCGTTCTTCTAGCGTTCTGCGGACGTTTTTCTGTGTGCCCCGGTCATCGGGGCTCTTCTACTGAAAGGCACCAAACCTTGCCGGGAGTAGAAGAAGCTGCGAGGCGCTATCAGTGAAAGGGGCTGCAACAAATAGTGGTGCAACAATGCCAGTTGGAGCTCAGCGTGGTCTGCTCGCTCTCGTGACTTGTTGTACCGTGGATGAATGTGTACCGCAAGAACAGCAGTATACTGGCATTCGGACAAACCCATGATGAATCATCAATCGCTCTTGGTCTAATCAAGGAATGCGTCGATCCTACCTCGGCGCAGGTCCAGCGCGCGAGCACGTCAGCCCGTACGCAGCCAACCATACCGTTGCTGCCCTAAAAGCTGTCGACAACGGATGGTGCCATTAATGGTTGCTCAGCCTTACGAAAGGTGTCTATCTGTGATCGAGATCGAGTCCCTGGTTCGAGGCTCACGCACTCACTTCATGTTTCGATCTGTCTCTTCCAGGATACCAGAGATCTCGGCGTCGTTCTTCATTTCCACCACTATCTTGTTCCCTCGCATGCTCTGTCAGCCGACAGCGGAATATGGCAACAGCAGTGAGTGGTCGGTGAATGCCTGTGTGTACACTCTGTATTTCATTCCACACCGAGTTGCAACACCAATCACAGAGTTTCAACGCCAATAGTAGTGGTCCCGGCCATCGCACTCACTACAACAGCTACATAGGATAAGTGTGTTAATGCATGTGTGCATCTATGTTCAGAAGTGCAGCACGCACTCTCTGAGTAGTGTACAGAGTAGCGTCCAGTACAGATGATTTTGCCTATCTTCACCTGAATCAAAATGGCAAGAGTTTTCTCCAGGGGCGAAGTTTTCTTCTGCCTGGGTTGCGGCCGATTGCCTGCTCTCCCTGCCATCTATGATGTTGCGAGCATGGTGCAAGGGGCGCGGACACCGAGGGAGGGACATGTAACTCTAGATGATTGAGTGTGAGATGCTTGGATTTGCAGGTCACGCGCTACATACTTGCTACACAGAGTACCAAATCCACCCTGTCGTGGAAGCATCTGCGTCATCTCGAGACTCTTGACACACCTTGCAGTTCCTTCCCAAAGCTTGTTGGTGGCTGAGTGTGTAAACTCGTGGAGAAAACCAGAGGAAGGACGCGGGAAAAGTGGAGCAGCACCTGGTACTTGCTTGGAGGCCAAGAGGCCAAGCGAGAAATTGCGCCGCATGTTTGCGATCTACGATCAAGAACACACATCTCCGATCCCGGTCTATTTCTAGTATAATGCATGCATTGCAATGCGAACGACCTGGTGGTGCTGAGAGAGCCTGTTACCCACATTGGGAGGTGTGTGGCGTGTAGGTGGCCTCTCTCGACCAGCCTACGGGTAAGTCTAGTTCGCGACGTGATCGCTTGGACAACATCAAAGTGCTGTGGTGGTGGGGGCATTAGACGTGACGTATGATGAGCAGTGATTCTTTGACCATGGTTGGCCCTTGTTCTAAAAATTCACGGAAGGAACATTATATAATTGCAAACGATACTCCGCGTCATTACTCTCTACTCTAGTAACATCACGACAACCAACACGCGCAGCGTGGAGCGTACCTTGCCCCCGGACCGAAAGAACCGAACAACCATTTGAATTCAGCTGTTCGTTCGATGATGCTGGCTGCTGATCGCCAGAAGTCGTACTCCGCTGTGCAGACAACAAGCGGGAGGAGCGTTACAGGCGGAACGGCGGCGTGTGCGAAGCACCAGCCGGCACCGATCTGCGGGGACAGCAACTTCTTGCTCGGCTTGTTTGGGATGGGGAGCAGCGAAGGGGGGCGTTCGGCTGCGGCCGTGTCTTCGGCCGACCGCATCCGCAGGTGGAGGGTGCCAGAGTTCGTCGGCGTGGTGGTGGGACTAGCCGTTGTTTCGCTCGTGCAGGCCTGCTTTTCCGAGTACGAGCAATTCGTACCCGAGGTGAGCTTGTTTTCTTTCTTATTTCATGATGTGCCGTTACATACATGCATGCGCAAGCATCCTGTTTGCTGCTGTGCTGCTGTTTGTTGCTGCTGATTCTTCGATGACGATGTTCCGCGGTCTGGTGCTGCTTCGCCACACATGGCAGCGATTGGCCTAGCCAGGGCTACTTGCGGTCGTCTTGACCCAGGTATGGTAAACAACAACGCCACCCATATTTTATTCGCCAGTATCAAAAGTTTTGTTTTGGGGCAGGAGAGGCACAGCTGGGGTGAGAACATTTCGGTTTTATTTTTCTGGCGTACACTAGCCTGCGACTGCAGCAGGTGCATTCGCGTGCACGTGTGCACATGGTTCTCGAAAGCAAGACATCAGTCGCCGAAGACAGCACTTCTCTCCAGCTATCACGGAGATATGTTATGTGTTTAGAATTCACCGAACAGGCGAATGATAGCTATGTTATGGCGCCGCTCTGCTAACGAATAAAATGGCGCCAAAACAAAAAGGGCAACGCCAGATTTAAGAATTCTTGGCTACCTTGAAGAAAAACAGGTGCTTGTCAAGAACCCTTGCATTAAAACCAATATTGTACCATGGTTAGTCGATGTTACATGCCCCCACCGACAAGACTCCTCCGCACCTCGGCCAAAGTACGGGGTGCCATACTGCGACCGTTGGTGCAGTTCAACTAACTACTGCTTAGCAAATCATACCTACAGATGTGAGGCGGTGACGTTTCAAATTTTTTTTTTTTCAAATTTTAGATTTTCACCTCCTTTTCATACCGTCTTTCGTTTCGAGAGACCGGGTAGTACACACACATGCTGCCAGGCAGGGCAAAACCTGTGTTGAATGCATATGCATAGTCAAAATCAGGGGTAATGTCGACGTTATGCCGTGCTTGTACTGTAGCGGTTCTCTCGCGTGAAGGTGTTGGGGAGAGGACACCAGGGTAACGTGTGTAGATGCTAAGCAGGTGGCACTACTAAATACTTGTACTTGTACTGGTAGTGTTTATCTTCCAAATAGTCACAGTGTAAGATGATGGAGAATCTCCGTATCGTACAAGTACTCAGTAGAAACTACCGGCCGTAGGTGTCTGCTGTACGCTACTGCTGTAGTCTTAGTCTATCCTGCAGGGGTTGTGAGGAAGGTCATGCAGTAAGTTCAAGCGTTTTCTCCCCCCGCCCAGCCAATCATAGTCATTCACCACCCATCGGCCGACCCGCAGAACAACAAGGAGGGCATCAACGGGTTCCCAGTTGGCCTTGGAGCAGAGTGGTGTACGGCGAGCGACCTGTCGTCATGTGCAATCCAGTCCGAAAGGTATGATGTGGTACGGTATGGTATGATGTGGTATGGTATGGTATGGTATGATGTGATACGATGCAAGGCGGTGTACGTGCAGCAGTGCGAATCCGTATCCTTACATGAATGCGGGTATGTATGGTACTGCTGTGGGAAGACTCAACTGTTCACGAAAACTACCAAGATTGGGTTGAGAGACACGGCTGGTCCTACTGCGGCTTTGGCTCCACCGAGGCCCCTACTCCAATCTCTACACACATAGTGAATCTGTACTCGACAATGGCGACGATACGACGTGGTAACAAGTGGACCCTCCCTCGACCCGAGATATTGACCTTTGTTTCTGCGGATCCCTACTGGTGTATTGAACTCTGCCGACATTTTCGTCCTCTCCTCGTGCGCGCCTTCCTTCATTCTCTCGCCCTGTCGTACCCTCGCGCTGGAGCAGCGGATGTTGCAAAGGGATGCAGGCGGGAAAATCGCCGCATGAAACCGTCGACGAGTTTCAGCTTTGGTTTGTCTACTTCGTGATCCCGGCCGCCTTCGTCGCGGTGCGCCAGGTCCTCGCCAAACGTGCGTAATGTATTCGGAGTCTTGACAGGTCTTGAAATCAGTCGGTATCTTGCACGGGTGTCAGTCGGTACCTTGAACGGGTGCTGCGTACATCTGAACAGTCTTTATATTCTTAACGCCAGCCGTTATCTTGCACGTGTGCTGTGTACCGTAAGGGGCGTACTATAATAGGTTCGACGTTCTTGACATGGCGATCGGGTTTTGCTCGTTTGTAACTACGCGGCTCAGATGCTGCTTGCTGTGATGACTTTTTGTTCTTTTTCGCTGGTTCTCTCGTTTCCGTGGGAAATAGACGGGTTTTACCCCCGGGTATTCCGGGTTAGTGTTACTGGCGTGGGACCTGTGCCCACTGCTGTTTCATGTGGTGGGCCGAACTTTGAACAAGAATGTCTGGCGGATTGGATTTTTTTTGTGCGGTTCTCAACCTTCGCCGCTGCGGGAGCACGGCCGCTCCCTTTTCACCAGTTGGCTGATATGAAATGGTCTGAGACCTTCCCATGACGGCTCTCTGCTCTCTGGAAAGATTGGAGTCTTTCGATCGGAACCACATTTACGTCCACATGGAGTGCCAATACGATACGTCCGCAAGCATGCCAGCTTAGTTCCTGAGTGCGAGTTGACCGCCCCCCCTCCCGTAAGACACGAAACGTTACAAGTCCCGCCGCGTTATTATTCGTCCGAACAGTCGGGCTGTACAGAGGAGCGGCGAGCCTGGCCGACGTGATCCTCGGCCTCGTGTTCTGCCTGGGGCTTTCTGTTACTCTCACGGACGCCATCAAGTTCATGGTCGGGAGGCCTCGCCCAAATTACGCCGCCCTTAGGGCTCTGGTGGAGCACGGCGGGAGCAACGTGATGTCTTTAAAGGTGAGGCCCACCGGTATGTGGGAGTTGTTGTGGTTGGCTGGATTTGAGATTGTCGCAGCTGTTGTTTTTCTCCGGCGGTTACGTTTGGATTTAATTGTGCTGTTCGTCTCCGCTCGAGGTCTGTTTCGTTGTTGTGCCTGATCCACCTGCCTTGCCCCCCCCCCCCCCCCCC